CTTCATAAATGCAAAGTGACAAGCTTCTGCTGTCCACAGGAACTGAGAGACCTTTGCAACTTTCAGCTGCAGTCAAAGCACAGGACATGGCCCAAAGTAGAAAAGAAATCCAACCTTTTTGCTTGAATGCAACATTTCCGGTTAAATGGTGCTTTTACTGGATGTGCGGGTCTGCAGGAGGAGTTGGGCTTGATGTTTAGCCAGCGGCCAGAGAGTCAGAGGTTAGCACTCGTGTGTCTAGATGAACATTTCCCATCATGTGCATGTGACTGGTCTGCAACGCTCACTGCTTTACAGGGTTGGGAACATTGGGTTACTTGTGAAATGAAAAAAATAAAAAAAAATCATCATACTGTCTAGTTTAAGAGAAAAAAAATCTAAAAAAAAATTATCAATCAGCACAAAATTAATCATTTATTTTGGTTAGCAAAAGTCACTTTAAAAAATACTGCAAACAGATATTCTTAGTGGGTGCAGTTTAAGAAGACTTTCCCAGCCCTGCTGCTTTCCCAGAAGTCCTTTTGCCTCCTCTGTTTGTAAACTGTGCGCATGTCCCTTTAAGAGAGAATTAGCCCCAGTCGGGCGTAAATGTGGCATGGCTTTTATGGCTTATGTAGATTTGCAGTGCCCTTGTAAGCCAACGTTTTGTTTTTCTTTTTTTACTCGAATAGTCCTGCAGTTTGATCCAGCACCCTGCTGCCGGGGCCTCGCTTTAAAGAGGCCCAGACCCGGCCATGTCCATCTGACCTTTGACCTATACCCTTTGTATTGTCTTGAACTGTACAGGAAAGTACAGACGAAAAGTGTGGATACTGTAAAGACTGTACAAAAATAAAAGGTTAGCGGTAGCTGAATAGTGGGAAGGCGACAGCTCTGGACACACTGTGGTAAAACTGTACTTTTCCAACCGTAGGAAGAAAATAATAATTTAATATGACACAAAGAGCCCCGGGGTAAGAATTAGCAAATGTATTTTTTTCTTCTTTTTTTTCTTGAAATTTAAAATATATCTTCTCTGCTCAAATTTCTTGAGAGTACGCCTTGTGTATCCCTTTGACTCTGACACACACACTCATATTGTCTTTGCTCTTCTTCTTTGTGTTGACTTTATTTGCAAATGACGTAAAGATTTGCTCCTTTAGTAATCTTACAAAACGAACAGAGTGACATGAAATTAAATACAAGCTCACACAATGCTTTTTTCTTTTCTAAATACGATCCAATTTTATCCTTTTTTTTTTCTTTGAATTGAGGAAACGAATGAGAAATTACAAAATTATTGTTTTTATAACATAAAATACTAAAAGATGAGGGATTAGAAGTAAAATCTGGTGTTTTTTTAGCTTTTTGTGACTCTGAGAAGCTGGACTCTGGACTGTGGCCTGATCACTAAAATATTTCAGATTCTTTTTTTGCATGATATGAAGCAAAACAAACACCTACAGGTTTCTGCTTCTTCTAACTGAGCCAGACTGATAACATTCAGAGCACAGTGCATTCCTCTGAAGCTTACCAAATTAGTTTTCTCCATTTCTGCCCGAACTGAAATTTGGTTTCGGCTGGAGCTGCAGAACTGACTGAAATAATCCCATGACTGCGCGTAAAGTTTCAGATGGAACAGTCAGACAGTAAGCAGCTGAAATACTTGGAACATGTGACATTCATAAAGTATTACCAAACTGTTTATTTCTTGAAAGGGAAATTTTATCAATTGGTTTTGTTGTACATTTCCATTTCTAATTTTTTTTTTGAAAACAGCTTTATTGTCCAGAGTAAAATAGAAAAAAACTCTTCCAAACCCAAATCCAGAAAATAGCTGTAATAGGAAAAAAACGTAACTATCTTCAACAGACTGTCTGTTATGCAACGATGAACAAGTGGGAAAAAGTGTTCAGGACATTTGTAAAGTACAGAACACCAACCATAGGAACCATAAGAACCAAGAACCGACCATAAGCAACCAGTAAAAAGTTATTTTGACTAAATTTAATTCATTTCCTTCAACATGACCCAGAGAAAGGTCAGTTTAGTAAATCTATCATTTTACCAAAGTTATGTTGTCTGAGAAACGTGTGTGTGTTGGCTCTATCTTTGCAGAAAATATTAACTGAATATGATCATATGTACTTACTGAACCTAAAGCGTTATCACTGCCATCCAAAACACACTGGAGTTCACTGACAGCTGAACTTTGTTTCATTTCAAAGTTCAAAGCATAAAACACAGGAAACATGCTCTGTCTACTTCAATTGACATAACTAGCTTACTTTTATGTAGTGAATATGTTAGTGAAATCCTGAAAGCATTTACACCACCAACACATTTTTGAGTTAGAACATTTGTTGTGTTTCTGTGCGCTAGTGAAAACATAAATATTACATCTGGGCAGCTGGAGTCAGAGGGAACAATGGTCGTCTTTTATTCAGGACGCCAGGATCGTTTTCCCAAATATGCTACAAATACGTCATAATATTTTAATTACTAAAGTTAGTTAAATACAGTTCCTTTCACAAGAGTTCATACTGCTTGAACTTTTTCATAATTTGTGGCGTTACGACTACAAACTCTACGTTTTAAGGTTTTATGTGATAAGAAAATGCAAGTTGTACTTGTATATAAAGAAAGTTAGAGAGAAACATATTCTCCCAACCAAGCAGCTGAGTCTGAAAACAAAGTGAGTTTTCAGAAGAACTTTATGAGTTTCTAACCTTTCCCTGCTTTATAGTTCAAATATTACATGCTGATTATTGAATAGCTGAATTAGCTGGGCTGATTTTTATTTAGAAGTATCAAAGTAAAGAAAGTAGAACGTAAATGCATCTAACTTTTATTATTTTTCAAACTCTGCATCATTTTCTTGCATTTTAAAATCATGCAATACTTTATTTTGGTTTATCACACAAACAGTATGTAACTTGACCCACGTGGAAAAAGCTCAATGTCTGTGAATAAGTGGTTTACATTTGAATACAGATTCTGAACATCATATTACACTTTTGTTTCCATAAGTTACAGACTTTAGCTAACTTGGAAGCAGATTTGGACGATTCCGACTGTTAAAAATGGACAGTTCTTCCGAATAATTCAGTTCAACTCTTAATTTAAGTCAGTGCTTATCCTCTTGTACCCACTGCATGATTCAAATTGCCAAAAGTTTTTCCTCAGGTGAAACACAGAAACCCTGAGATGAACTATGCAGAACCACGGCGGTGTGCCCAACGCTGTGTGTGCCGGGACGCCACACACGCTCACGGCAAACAGAAAACATCTGTGACGCCGACACTTACAAGCCTCACGGTGGCTGGGATCCCCAGTGCCATCGGAGCAGCAGATGAAGCATATGTGCTGAGAAAATGATGACTCCCTCACCGCCTAACAGCATCGTAGACAAACAGGTTTTGCTACATGATTCATCCTTTGCATGAGGAATGAGGTTGGACAATGTGAGAAAAAAAAACACACAGGCAGACAGAGAGAGAGCGAAGAAGCAGGCAGTCGACTGATAAGCACATCTGAGATCTACAAGCTCCCACGTCTAATAAACTACTCTTCGTACTATCCTTAGGTGTTGTCTCTCTGCCAGGTAAGGGATTATTTTTTGCGATCAGACAGAGTGATGAAATCCAGAGCAGATTGTAGCTGCTGTTGTCAACCTAAGGGTGTAGACATATTCTGCAATTTCCTTACAGCTGGATTTTTAGAGGAAGATAAACCAAACTGAGAAGGCATCTGAGAATTTACCCAATTTGTGATAAAAAAAAAAAATGGAAAAAAAAAAACAAAAACTGCTGACTTGAATTTCAGACCACTATTCTTCCTTTGCTTTTTGAAAATTAAAACTGAAATGAAGGTGAGTTTTTCATTTCCTGCAAATAAATACAGCAATAAGATCTCACTTAATTTGGGCAGTGAAGTGGAAAAAGAGAGTCAAAAATATGCCTGAAGCTTTATAAAAATTCATCAGTACAAAGCCACTACCTCTCATCAGGATGTAAACGCATCCTAATGTATTTTTTCTTAGTGTGAGGACAAAAAGGTAATTTATCTTAAAATGAATCTCTACATTTAGTCTGTTCTCTAATGTGGTTTTCCTTAATGTGTCCCCAAAGCCTGCACATCTGCTGAGTCCCATTCAATTCCCCAGACGGATTCACGACGAGTCTGCAGCACCGTCTCAGCCTCTGCTCACAGCTGAGGGACTGAAACCTCGCCTTGAACCAAAAACTATATCTGATTTCAGAACAATGGACCTGCATGTCGTTCAAGTCAGAATTGCAAATTTTCCAATAAGTTCATTAAGCTCGTTTCAACGGAATAAATGAAAAAGTTCACCACAGATTTAAGGTTTACAGCTTCAAAAACCTCCTGGTTATTCCACCAAATACTGATTTCTGAACTCTTTCTGGGTTAAAACATTAGTATTGTTGTTTCTAAATAAACATGAACTTGTTTTCTTTGCATTATTTGAGGTTTGAAAGTACTGCATCGTTTTTCTTATTTTCACCATTTCTCATTTTCTGCAAATAAATAAAACATTTTTGCTTGGAATTTCAGTCATTTTGTCAGTAATTCATAGAAGAAAAGAACAATGTTCAATTTACTCAAACATATAGCTATAAAAAGTAAAATCAGAGAAACTGATCATATTAAGATTCCCAAACTGAATGTTGTCATAAATATTTTAGATATGTCTTATGAAAATAACTGGCAAATGGGAGGATTTTTTTATGAATAATTTGTCATTATAACCCACAAAAACATCCATAAGTTGGTGAATCCATCAATATTGAACCACTGTAAAGTCAGTTGTGTAAATATTTAGAGGTAATAGTTCTGAGTAGCTTTAACTGCTCATACATCAAAACGTCTTTAAAATGTATTAGATTTTTTACCAAAACATGTTTTTTAAAAGAGCATAAAATATAGCAGCTGTGGCATCTCGCTGGTTTTCAAATGAATTTCTATCGTCAGTGCAACAACAGCAAGAAAAACAAAATATGAACCAGTTGCTCACAAGTTAATTTTATTTTCTACTAAAATACACATTCCATGCAGGTTTTTAATCACTTTTCACAACAGCCAACAGAAACAAGGAAACAACCTGGAGGCGCTTTGCCTCACGACGACAGGCAAATGAGATGTTAAAGTTGGTACAGTATTTTGTTTTGTGCAAATGCTGAGTGGCTTCTACAAACAGTGAGTCTCCGTCTGCTGTTACGAGTTTTACTGCAGAGAACCGAGCTTATTGAATCACAGTCCTGCACATATTTACATATTCAGCCTGGAAAAAAAAAGGCCTGTTCACAAAATCATGTTCAATGTGCAAGGAATTAATAAAGTACCGCTTTAGAAATAAATATTAAAGCTCAATTAATTTATTTTCATCTGATGTGATCAGCTGAAATTAGCATATGTGTTTGGTTTCAAATAATAAATGTAGAGAAACTTTTTGGCAGTTGCCACAGATGGAAATATAAGCAGCGTTTACATTTTGACAAAAAATAAAAAAAATGTTTGAGATTTTTTGCTTTTTGGCAACATCATAAATAAGCAGCACTTAATTCTTCTATGTCAAATTTAGAGACATAGAAGTTTTCCCTGTCAGTCATGACCATAAATAATCTGAGTTGAAGGCAGTTCATCATCAAGAATAACAACTATAACTTCAAAATAATGGTTGGAAGAACATTTTAGCCTGAATCACAGCAATAATTACAATAAGCAAATAAATATATATATTTTTTTTATTCTGAGAGAAGGTCCAGTTGTTGGCATTTAACTCAGATTTAACTGAATTCTTGCTGTGAATAATTTCCCAGAATAAAAATTACATTTGGAAGTTTATCCAATCTCTTCTTTTAACAGTCATCAAATTATCAACATAATGTCCGCGCTAATAAAAATATGAGTAAAATTCATCACTGATCCCGTTGCTGCATCAATCCTGTCATTATTCTCCATTGTTCTATACGTTCACACCATCCCAATATATCTGATGTGAGCTTTAATAAATGAACCGTCCTGCATATACAGCTAGAACTAACTTTCAAGACTTTTTACACATCTTTTATGAGGCGTATTAATAAATATTGAGAAAGCTTTAAAGATCTGATTTCAGGCCAAACTGTACTAGTTACATTTTCTTATCCAGTTTCTACTAACCCATCATAAGTGCAACACTGAGCTGTTTTCACCATGACAGTCTTTAACTCACATGTAAACAGTCTATTATTCAGTGTAGCTGAAACTATAAAATACACTTCATCATTTTGATGTACAAAAACAAATAATGCATCCGTTTCTTTTTTATCCAGTAAATAACTACATTTTTTCTTTTCAGTAGAAGTGCAACACCTAAAACATGAATTTCAGCAGTTCTTCTCCAGCTCCAGGTACAAATTCATAACAGAATTTCAGAAGCTTAAAGGGAAGATATCATACCTTATGAGAACAATAATTATTGCATGTTATTGTTTTAAATCAGATAGAAAAATGTAAAAGCGATAAAACTTAATAGCGCTGTAGTTGCATGTCTTAAAAACAGAAAATGAGTACAACAGATGGATGATGATGTGCCATCTGTTTGTTTCATGCACAAAAAAAAACATTAAAAAACTTATGGTGACTGCAGTTGTTTGTGAGCATAAAGTTTATCAGATAAAAAAAGTGCTTTTTACTATTTACTTGTCCTCTCAGAGCAAGACCTCCACTGACATAGAGAAAAACAGCTCTCTCTAAACTGTCGTCCTGCATTTTCGGTCATTTTTTTTCTCTGTGTCTGAGCTAAATGAACATGTGTTTCACTGCAGCGACAGACTGAGTGTCTATCAGCAGCTTAACTTCCCCTCCCTGTGCTACACGTCTTTAGGGACAGAGCAACTGCTAACTCTAGCGATTATTCCACTACTGTGGAGTATTGAAAACATACTGGGCTCACCACAGAGCACTTAAATCCATGCTTAGGGTGCTGGTTTATTAGGTTTCCTAGCTCTCCCAAATTTTCTGGAATATACATCTTTTCCTTTTTCAGCTGAAATTCAATCCGGAAGCCATTTTGTTAATCAATAACTTTCAGTTCTCACAGCTGCCAAGTGATCAGCATCTTCCCTTTTTTTTCTTCCTTTTTAAAATATTTCTTTAAAGAACATAAAAATTATAGCTCATGGGCTAAAAGCCAGAACATTATTGGAAAGGAAAAAAGTGAAAAAAAGCCTATATATGCTCTTTACAGCTTCATTATACTTAAACAATCATACAAAGGCAAACTTCAATCTCCAAGTGATAATCTAAAATAAGACTGATTCTAAGAGTTCAGCTGAATGAGCTGCTCCAATAAAAAAATCAAATAAAAAAAAACAACTCGCATATGTGGTTCAGCATGTTTGGTCTCATCAGTAATGAACTGCTTGTCAGATGTTTGCCTCCCCTCTCCTATTTTATTGACAGCTTTATGACCCTCCCTGTGACCTTCACAGGCAATCTATTGACGATGCTGCTGCACAGCTTCCATATGAAACAATACAGCAGAAGGCATATGTGAATTAGAGTATACTAAATGTAAAGGAGAGGACTGTATGGAGGGAAATCTGCGGACTATGATCTTCATAAGAAAATAAAGAGGTAGGCTAACTTTGCTGAAAAGAAAAAGTGACACTTCAATAAGATGCTGGAACGGCTTTGAAGTGCTCATCAAACATGCCACACACAACACCAGCTTTAAAAATGACACTTCAAACACAGCATGCGTAAATGAACCACATAACCTATTAAAAATAACCCTATGCTCTTGCATAATTATAATAAGACTTACTTCACTCAGGGAGACCAGAAAACACATGACTCATGCATGCATTACCATCTCCATAATGCAAAACAGTAGTAAACACAGATGAATGTTACAGCACAGCACGTCAGGGGTGTTTTGATTGGATTTCTTCTAGTGGTGGGATAGTATAAGGAGATCTCTGTCAATAATGGCCCAAATTCAGACCATCTTCTTCTCTTTCTTATCACCTGTCTGCATGACATCATTGAGGGAAAAGGTCATGAAGGCAATTTGCTCCAGTTCGCTTTCCTTCCCGCACTCCATCAGGCAGGAGAACTGATCCTTGTCCACATTGTAGGCCAGGTCCGAGTAACCGCTCGGCCCCCGGTGGATGATCCTGGGTCGGTCCCACCCGGACGAGTGCAAGGGGGATCGGTTCAAGTACACGCCCATGTCCCGCCGGTCGGACTTGTTGGTCGGGTGCATGAACAGGAGCCAGGTTTGAGTGTCTGGTGAGAGGAGCGATGTGCCGCAGGCCTTGCTCTCGGCGTCGTCGTTGGGGACGAATTCGGGGGCGGGGAAACCGATGACGCTGCCCTGGCAACCCGAGGGTTGCTCGACGAGCTCCCTGGCCATGTGGGGCTTATCGAAGTAGACGCCGCTGTTTTCGCTCAGGGCTTCACATCTGTGGCCCCCCGTGTGCCGGGCGTTGCAGTAAAGGTGGCTCCTTCCCTCGTGGTCGATGATCTCCGCCATTTCACATTCACACGACTTCTTTTGAAGCATCTTCCCGATTCGCCACGTCTGTCCAAAGTCCTCGCTGTATATCGACAGAGCGCGTGGATACACCGTACAAGGAAGTGGATAGGAACAGCATCTATATGGGATGTAGTAGGCGTACGCAGGAATGATCAACCTGCCGTTCTCCAACTGAACGCCGTGGCCAGGCCCGACCGCAAAAGTGGCCCATTTGTGTATGGCACTCCCGATCACACTCTCTGTAAGGTCCATAGCCGGGCTCCAGGTTTGCCCGTCGTCGCTGCTGCGCACGCAGCAAAGACGGGCCTTGTTCTTACCTGTGATAATCTGCTTTATTTCTGTGGTGTTTTCCCATATGCAGATGAAAAACAGGAAGAGTGTCTTGCTGTTTTTCTCATACACAGGACAGGGATTCATTGTGCGGTGGTTTGGCAAAAATGCAGTGGAAATCTCCTGACTCGACGACCACTGAAAGAGAAGGAAAAACACATTTTATTAGCAGCTTTATGCATATGAAAGAAACCAAAATCATAAGTCCAGGTTCCTAGAAGGCATTTATGAGACATGTGGAAGAAGGTACTCAGAAATGACCACAACTGAACGATCTACAATCAGCATGCAAACCAGTATTTTGTGGCTGAAATCTGACACTGAACAGTGGCAAAAGATGGAGCCAGCATCATGCTGTAGAGATGCTTTCCTTTAGCAGAGTGACAGCAGAACTATACAGATTTGTTGGAAAGATAAACTGACCTTAATAAATAGGATAAATTATGCTAAAATGAGACAAAAGACTCATCTGCTGGAGGTTCACCTTCTTGCATACAGACATTGCACTGGGATAATCTTGGTCAAATCTTATTGACATGTTAGAATGACCTAGTCAAAGTCCACACCTCATTCCAGCTGAGATTTTCTAGCAAGATTTGAATGTTTCTGTTCTCCAAATAATCTGGCTATATAATTTGAAAACTTCTTTTATCATTTTCCTATTATTCTATCACACTGAAGCATTTAAAGTTTGTTTTTGCAACGAAAAATGAGAGAAAAGACGTGTTGCGTATGAATGCAAAGGTGTGACAACCTGAACAGGTCCATCCTCTTGGAGCAATCCTCTTCTCATAACCAGACGTTTGGCGTCGTGGTCATGAAAGGAGCTTCTTTTCTCTGCAAAGGCGAGGAATGTGTGACAGTGCCTCAGGTAGAGCAGAGCTGGAATCCTGTACGTGATCCCACATGACTCCCTCTCAAACAAAGTTGTTTTAGGGGGCTCCTCGACGCTCACACTTTTCGATGATTTGTTCCCCATGGCGGATGAGAGTCCCTGCAACAGAAATACCACACACACACACACACACACACACACACACACACACACACACACACACACACACACACACACACACACACACCCACACACACACACACACACACACACACACACACACACACACACCAGTCTTTCAGAATCTTGCAGCAACAACCTTTGACAGAAGCTCAGCCTCGCAGCAAGAGTTCACACTCCAGTGCGTCCTCCTCACGCACAGAGACGCCGCAGAGCGTAAACAGCGAGCAGACAACGGAGCCCTTACCTTCACCTGTCGCTCTTGACCTGCCTCTATCCTCGGCTCGGCGTTACAGAGTCCATTTGGCTGCGAAACCAGGAACCTCTGATGTTCACGACAGTGATGCTGGAGGTTCATGCAGAAACGAAGACGGCGACGACGCGAGAAGTACATTCACACTCGCTTCCGGGATTGCCCTGAATGTCACCGTCGAGTTTAAATGAGGTTTTCGGTTTGTGTTCATTTCATTAACGCAGCTATTAGCAGCGTTTGATTAGTTCTAACAATGACAACAACAATTGGATCCACTTATCTGGGAATAAAAACAGCAAAGAGGAAATAAATTTCATCTTTACTCTCAAATATTGCTGCGCGTACTCGCTTTCCGTTACATTGATGTGGCAGGGTAGCATCTTAAAAACTCCGCGACTCTTTGGTGAGTCTGTCTTCCGCATGTAAACCTCTTTTGCTACCGCCACCTGCTGGATGAGAGGAGTCACTGTCCCCTTTCAGACTGTTGCTAGGATACAGAGCGCTACACTACTCAGCAAAAGCTAAAAACTGGCGTAAAAAGTTGACGACAGGAAAACGGGAAGACTTTACCTAAAACATTTTCTACAGCCAGGAGACCATAAAAAGGAAGAGAAGAAGGTAATGTAATTTAGTCATATTAACTAGCCGCTCGGAAGCAACACGATGTTTTTGATTTTATGGTTGCATGACTCTGCAGTTTGCTCAGAAAACAGGAAACACAAGGACAACAGCAGCAACAGAAGAACAAGAACTTACAGGAAAAGATGAAGAAGGTTCATAGGAAAGGTGCAAACAAGGAGATTTTTTTCTTTATGTATTTTAAAAATTGATTCATACATTATGTTTCATTCAAATAAGCAAATGAGAAAATAGCAATGCTGTGTGTCTGCACAGTGGTGCAGTTGGGTGTTGCTTGGGAGCAAGAAGGAAAACATTCAGCAGGTTTAAAAGATCTTAAAAAGCAACACATCACACTTCAATCTAAAGGCAAAATCTGACATCTTTCAGTGAGGAAAACATTACAAAGCCATGTCTGAGGTTTTAGCAGGGGTGCAACAGTGACCCGTCCAGAAGGTCCAAAAAGAACCCATGTAAATGTTGAATGGTTGTGACCGGCGTGAAATGGGATCTGTGGGACTTTCAAGACAAAAACCACCAATACAAACCACATAAAAGCCTGTCACATATTTCCAAAAACCATCTTGATGTTGATTTCTATGAATTTTGAGAAAATACTGATGACTTGGCCTGAACACGTTGCCATTTTGATTGAAATGACCTTGAACTTAAGCGCAATTATGTGTTGAAGGGACGATGTAGCAGAACAAAGATGTGAAGTACAGCAGCAAATCGACCTGTTAATGAATCATTTTTAAAGATTCATCGAAAATATTTTGATGTTTGGAAGAATAAAAGGGTGTTTAGGGTCACTGTGATATGTTATCGGCTCTCATTATAAAAAATAAAACATTTTTTACAGTGTTTTTGCACAAACATTTTCATTCTTAATGTTGCTTAGGTAAAATTTTTTTGAAAATAAAAAAATATCTGCTTCTAAGTTCTGTTCTTTCTTCAACTTGTAGAGGCTGGTTTTTTGCTGATCACACGCAGAAAACCAAAGCAGCAGAAGAACAAGAGCCTGCAGAAATGTACGGAAACGACGCGTACGCAAGACGTAAACAAGGACGCTGGTGGTCCAGCTCAGACCACATTGAATGGACGCTTATTGGTGAGAAACAGTCACTGTAATTTATAATCGCTGGACTGACCATAGTTAGTCATTTGTCTGCATGTGCAGCTCCAGTTACACCGTGTGGATAAGCCGTCCCACCTCTGCACCATCAACATCAGTGGGCAAAATCTGACTTCTGTAAGATTTTTTTTACACTTTGCATTTGATCTTCTGTTAGTGATGATAACTAAATAATTTCCTGAACTCACACAGGTTGAGCCAGAAGAGCTGATGGCCTTTGTAAATGTCGCCTACGTTGATGCATCTGATAACTTCCTCTCTTTAGGTGATTCATTTCACACTGATTTGTCTTCAGATTGATTTTCTTCCTTTTCTAAAACCCAGTCATCCTCTGCAGGATCATTCAGCAGCTTCACGTCTTTGAAAGAACTCAGTCTGGCTTTAAATAGAATCAAAAACATGGATTTTGATGTTGCTGACTTCCCTCATTTAGAGGTAAGATTGCCTTAAATGTAATGTAGAGATGTGGAAAAATAATCATTGATTGTAAAAGTATTCAAGTCATTTCAACTTCTTCACATTTTGTGTTGATTCAACCACAAACTCCAATTTATTGTAATAGGATTTTGGGTGATAGATGAACATGAATTTGTGTGTAATGGTGAAAAATGACAGCATCATCCTGTGCAGATGCCTTTTTTCAGCAGACCTAGTCAAAGTCCAGAACTAAATCCAATTGAGGATCTTGATGAATAAAAAATGCTTTTCAGATGCTCGTCTGAAAATAGCTCTGAGTTTGAGCTATTTTTTGACACAATTCAGCCTCTACACAGACAAAGCTAATAAGGAAACTCAAAAAAAAAAACTACATAGATCAAAGATGGTGGTTTTAAAGAGGTAAACCGAGAAGGTTTTAAGATGTAAATATTTCTAATGGAATGTGCTTTAATTCTCGCAGGTCTTGAATTTGTCCTTCAACGCCTTACCAGCAGAGGTTTTACTCCAGTTCGGTCAGTTTCCACGACTTAAAACTCTTGATCTGACCAGAAATGATCTCAACAGTCTTCCTCCCAATTTTGGTGCCTCACACAGCGACCCGTCTGACATGTAAGAACATCACAAACAAAAAAGGCCATTAATAATATTTATATGTCTCTGTTTGGATTTCATCAGTTGAACACGTGATAAACTTGCTGTTTTTTGCTGACTGCTCTGCAGCATGTTATTCTGACAACACTGACATCCTTTTATGCTAAAAATCTAAACATCAATCCACTCTAGCAGGATATTTCCTGCGAGTTCAACCCCACACAGTAACACACTGGTATACTGGCCACAACCTCTGAAGTAGTTCTAAATCTCACCAAAAGGTGGTGTACAAGTGCACCAAATTTCTATTTCAAACACTTTCTATTTTACACTTTAAAACTGCTCAGATTTATAAAAACCAACCTTCTTGCCTACATTATTTAAATTTGCTGTTTATTGTTAGTGTGGGCATAAATAAGTCTTATAATTGAAACAAAGTGTAAACATTTAGTTTTTGGTTTTTGTGCGTGCAGGCTGTCTGAAGAGGGACCCAAACAGTTTGAGGCTCTTGAAGTCCTGATTCTTGAAAACAACAGACTGACCTCTAGTGTCTTCTACAGCCTTACCAACCTGAAGAGGTTTTCATGAGCTTCAGTGTTTGTTGTTTCATACCGAATGCAAACTCCTCTTGTCATCTGCTGATGTTGGTGAATGTTGTGCACAGGCTGAAGCATCTAAACCTAGAGGGGAACCGTATCACAGAAATACCTTGTAAGGAAGTGATGGAGAGTTCAAAACCCGCTTTGAGGGAAGGCGAACAGGAAGGTAAAAAGTTCTCAATCTGTGAGATTAGGAAATTGATTTTTACCTCCATTATCATCATCATCGGCTCTCTGACAGTGAGGAAGATAAACGCAATCCTTCATCTAGTTTTTAAAACAATTATTTTACATTGTAGTTAATTTCTTTCTTTTATCACCTGTGAAAATCAATGGCATGTTCTCTTGTCTTTCACATTTTGGAGAGTGCTTATTAGGGATGGGCCTTTGTGTTGCTTTGCATTTACACCCCAGAAAACCACAGAGTTTTGGATCACTGCACTCTAAAGAAAACAGAAAGTCTCTAATTTACAACCAGAGTGTAGTTAAGTTCTGAGTTACTCAACCTATATCTGAAATATGTAACAAACAAATTACAAAAATTCCCAAAAGTTATTTTATAGGTATTGCAACATGTCTCAAGCTGTTTTGAAGTAGCAGTGGAGCGCACCGTGGGCACATCACCAGTCAATCCCACAAAAACAACAAAACATCATTAAAGTAAATAAATCAGAAATATCTCACGATGTCTCCCTTTTTAGACATCGAGTCTAAAATCGACCACCATATTGAGATTATGAAGATTCTTCACGCACTGAGGGAGGAAGGCTGCAGGCGATCCAGTGTGTTTCTGCCTGAGCTCCAGTACCTCAATCTGGCCAACAACAAGGTGAGCGACGTGTTTCAAACCATCTGTGGTCGTCGGTCACGTCTCATCAGCGTTCTGCCGTCAGATCGCCTCAGAGGAAGCCATGGTTGCTGCTGCTCTCTTCCCAAATCTCTGCGAATTAGATATTCGCTGCAATCCTCTACGCACACTGAGGAGAGGTACTCCTGCATTCTGGCAGACGGTCGTCGAATGCGCTTGTTGGATTGCTCAAATTCACTTTTGTGCTTTTGTTTGAATCCAGGAGAAACGCCTTTACTGACCTATTTCCTTCAAGACAAGCTTGGAATAAAGATAAAGAGAGGGAAGGAGAAAGAGTTTGTAAAACTTCCCCAGAAGGTGCGTGTTTATCCAGGATGGAAGGTGGGGTGTGCTGCGCATTGACAGGAACGTTGAATATTTGGATTCATGAAGACAGAGTTACAAAATGAGAGATTTTATTTTTCCACACGCAAACTCTGAAATTCAAACATGAGAAGAATTGCTGAAGTCTACATTCCACTTTAAGGTTTTTCTACTTTTATCATGTTACAGCCACACATTTCAATGCATTGCTTTCAAAATGAAGTTCAAATAAACATCTGAAAAGTGCGGCATGCATTTGTGTTCAGCCCACTTGAGCTTTGCAACAATTTTTCCAATTAGATTTAGGTCTGAACTTGGACTAGGCCATTCTGACACAGTTACAATCATCCCATTACAGCTCTGGCTTCTTTCCAGGGGTTGTTGTCCTGCTTGGCATTAAAACTTTGGCCCAAACTGAAGTTTTTTGCAGCCTAACATTTCTCTAACTCCTTCCATTGCCTAAATTAAATCCATTCATCTTCCAGTCAGTTACGTTGTGAACTCAACGATCCTGTAAACCTGCATTCAGTGTTGCTTTGTGTCTTTGTTAGCGTGTGCCATACTTTACACATTTACATTTGTGAAGATGTTTTAAAATCATGTTTCAATCCCCCCCTTCACAATATTTGCTGAACGATCGTATTAAAACTGAGTAAGCCATGCAGCGGTTAATGGCTGAGACATGATTGACTTTATGGACTATGAGCAGTAGATGCATAATGATTGATTTTTTCCCACCGAAGCCGTTAAAGATGCCATTTAAGTCGGACTCAACTTCTGTGAGACGCTTTCAGGACAACAAAAGACCAGAGGACAAGAATAAAAGCAAAAGTCTGGAAAACACAAAACACTTCTTCATTACTCAGGTTTATATATATTTACTGTTTGAGATTTTAAATTCTTAAGCTCCCGGTGGGTCGAGTGACTTCCCCTCCACATGTTTTCCTGTTGTGTTCACAGACCGAAGAAGAAGCCAAGCTTCATGACGAATCTGCACAAAACAGAGCCTGTCCGGGACGACCCATACGCTACGACTTGATAATGGACGTGAAACCACTTCCCTACATCGGTGCGCAGGGATAGATATGGTTCTCTCTGCAGCTGTGTGATATCTTGAGAAAACAAACCTCTGACCATACATTCATCCCGGAGGGAATCGCTATGTGCCTTTTGCTCTTTTTCTCTCAACAGGAATTCAAACAGCTGTTCGGATGCTGGATCAGACACTAAGGAGTCTGAACATCTACAGAGACTCCAAACCCAGGCTTGATAGCATCCAGACGCCATACAGAGAAATGAAAAAGAGGGTTTGATTTTCCTTTTCTTTGAATCTTTTCACATGCACATCATCAGTGCGGTAACAAATACCAAAGTGCTGTTCCCTTCTTCTGTTTTTGTGGGAACAGATAGTGGAGCTGCCACCTCTGAGACCATTAAAGCAGCCGATCGAAAGAGTTGAGGAGTTGATCAAGGAAATAAAAGATAGTAGAGCGGCCAAAGTTGTTTCCTTAGGTATGCAAGTGTCTTTTGAGTTCTCGACATATTTTAGCATCCGTTGCCGTTGAACATTCACACAGGCGCCTCTTGCCAATAAGATGTACTTCCTGCCTTTTTGGAAGAAGTGTAGATATTTTTTTGGCATAAAATAACTTACTGAATTCATTCTCACATCATTATCAATGTGTCCTTTCTGTGCAGGAAGTGTTATGCACAACAGAGCAGCAAACAGTAAGGACTACAAGGAAGCGTTATTTCTGCTGAGGGACTTGAGGAAAACACACAAGATGGTCCATGACAAAACAATGGAACAAGAAGCCAGATTCCAGTGTGAACATCCACATTAATACATGCTTTCCTCATGCAGGAGCTTTTTTATTATTATTATCTTCAACCAGATCTGGACCCTGATACTGTCACTGTGAGTAAAATCAATCTCACATCATAGACAACAAGACATGTTGAGCTTTTATTTATGTTTGATTTAAGAACGATATGGAAGAGAAAACCATAGATGGCATCCAGAGTATCACAGTTGAGCTGTAGCAAAAATGTGTCTGCAGTTGTGACTTCATCTGCAGAAAATGTATTTATCTAAAGCTGCCTTTTTCTGACGGTTCAGGGCAGCTGCCTGCACCACATCTGCAATCGCAGTTAATCTTCTAAATATGCATTATGTGCAACGTACTTTGGCCAGTTACTTTTTATTACTTGCATTGTGAGTAAAATTTGTAAGCTTTGATGTATTTTTCTGTCTCAAAAAAGCGAACCGTGATCCTCATTCAAGTCGATTCTAATCTGGTATTTGTTATGATTAAAATGTCTTGTTGGTTGTATATTATCCTCTAACTTAATTATTTACAACCCTTGCTATCAGGAAGGAGCACAAACACTTTGGAACTGGAAGTGCTCGAGACTTTGAGCAGACCTCTGCGCTGCTCAGGATGATTTATGATCCACATTACCGAAACAATTTGGGTTCTGGAAAATTAACAAAGACGCCCCACGACTGCAGAAACCAAAACCTCATGTGTCTTATTACAACAGCCATTGATTGCAGCTATCTTGAATTTCCAGTCGTGTTCTGCTCACGCTGTTGGTTCGCTTGTTTGATTTCACGGCTCTGTTGCTCATATGATTTCCATTATTTGTCTTCTGAGCAGCTTGCAGATGTGGAATGCACATCCAGCCTCAGCGGGATGAATCAGCGCGCAGCGTCAGGGTAGTTCAAGTGGGGAGTTTTGCATGTTTACATTCATATTGGAGATATTTATCTCCTCCTGTTTGTAATGAATAATAAATGAGCTGTAAACGCAAAGTAAACTTTAAGATAAAGTGTCCATCACCCAATCAGGTGCATCAATCTCAATTTGGAAAAGTCTCATAAATTGTAGATGAAATTCATACGAACAAACGCTTGAATTATGTTTTTGCTAAAAACTAAAAATCTAAACACGGGGTCTAATAAGTTTGTAAAAAATATATATAAAATGATTTATTTAAAGTCCTGAAATTAAACAAAAAAGGGACATAATAAGGACAAATGTTTCAAATTCTCAGCTGTAAACTGTTTATTGAGGATGAGTCAAACTAAAAATGAAAGCTGATGAAAACCTCTCAGCAGCGTTTGTGCCTCTGATTCTGGGAATAAACAGAAGATTTATTTGGATTTTCATGACATTTTAACCTGAGAAGGTTGATCAAAGGTTTGAGCTCATTTATTGGTAAATTTACTGTGAATGAGGAGCGAACAAAATCCCAGCGTCACCAGGCCACAGACACCAGGCTCTCCTGTCCATTTTTAACAATCTGTGTTTCACTCATTTATTTTAACATTTTGATTTGAGAAAACAAACGTTCACAAACCAGATGCATTTATTCCCCACACAGTGAGTCCAGCTCATAACACAACCTACAAGACAAACAAGCTGCTGCTCTAAAAGTGGTAATAATGAAGAATGCACCGCTTTCATTCTTGTGTGAAAGCTGCATTTTAAATTCTGCAGTTCTCTTGTGCAAGAGGTTGTTGTGCACGTTCATGAGCCTCTCGGTTCTGGCCAGTGATCGGTTCTACAAGTGGTTTTATTTTGCGAGCGCACTCCTCGTCTCAAATATACAAAACACTGCAGCGACCTTCCAGGCATTAAGTTTTCACATTAAAATGATGTGGAAAGACCCAAAAACTCCTTTATTTGCACATTTTGACCCTCATCAGGTGGTTTTTAAACTTCCAGCAAACACAGTAAGATGAACCAGTTGATGTCTTTTCTGTTCAGTCCAAAACAGACACATTTCCTTTTTCTTTTTTTTTTTAAAGGTGGGTTTAAGGCAGAAAACCTGAGAAGAATTATCTCTGAGAATCTAATAAGAATGAATTATAAAGGGATCTGCCAGCACAATGTGTCTGTGCTAAGTGGATCATTTCTTTAGTGGAGACCAAAAAGTACAAGATGATCCTCCAAATAATCCGAAGCATTAGTTATTGTTTTCACTGCAATATATCAGCACTTTCAGCTTGAAGATGAAACCCATTAAAAGTACCAGAGGAGAACATATGAAACTCCAATCAGGCTGAACAAATTTGACCCTTTGGAAATGTTTGGAAAGATGTGCTGTTTTTGTTAAGAAGCATAAGATGAAATTTCACATACTTCACTCCTGAACTGAATCTATTACCTTATTTGTGGATTTTTGCAAATGAAATTTAAGCTACTTTATTGCCACAGTGACATCATATCCCCATCATGCAGTGAACTCTCGGATGGATGGGATTTAGTGTCCTCTGATGTCATAAATGAAAATGCACATTGTTTCAGTTTGTGACTGGTTCGTTTGCCACCTGGAGGGATTTTTCCATTAATGCTCCTGCGTTGCCTTTATAAAAGAGAATCTGAAGATTAAAAAACTGCTTTTGGGTTGTGAACAGAAAATCTTTAAAAGCAGAACAAAGGCCAACGACTTTATGATGCTTTTAAAACTTTTCGCCCTGCACTGCAGCTTTATATCAGGCCCCACCTCAAAATGTATTCACAAAACGAAACTGTTTCTGACTGCATGCATGTCGCATGAAACTATTCATACACCTCGAACAGTTTCATCTTATGAGTTGCAAGGTTTTAATTTTGTTGTCATGCCAGAAACGACTATTCTACTCAAGTGAATAAGAAAAACAAAACAAACTGAAGTCATTACATTTGAAAACCAGACAACAGAACGGAGCCAAAGTTTAAATTAAACCTCACAGGGGATGGTGGCAGTAAAGCTTTTTATATCCCTCTGGAAAAACTCACTTTTTTAGCCTGGCTTTTCATTGAACTTTACTTGTTTATATGTTCTCATATGTCATTATTTTATTTTTTTTATCTTATATGTTGCTGGTTGGATCTATCTACACTCTAAATCACTTTGGTCAACTTTGTTGATTTCAGATGTGCTATAAAAAACTGTTTAATGTAGAATTGGAGAGATTTTAAATGAGGAACCAACAGAAAGACTGAAGAGGAAGGCAAATTATTTTCAAAGTTTTTATTTGATTTTCTTTGCAAATTATGGTCCTTTGGAGATTTTTATTTTTTTTTTTATTTATTTTTTTTTTTTTGTATAAAGGGAATCTTGGATGATCCCCTCCTTCCAAATAACCAATTAAAATAAGGAAATGAGAACAACAAACAGGGATGTTCCTCTGACTGCAGCCACTGAACTGATGAAAACTTCATCTTCATGCATTGCCCTGTTCTTCATAAGCCGCTGCTGGCAGCTACTGTTTGGAAAACCACCACTAATCACAACTGCCAGTCCGTTGGGTTTTAAAGTCTCAGTATGAGGAGACGATATGGTTTGTTATTTTGTGCAAACCAGTTCAAGCTCAGTCGGACTGGAGTGGATGCTACATGAAAACAAACAGGCCTCTCCTGAACTTTCTCTTCCCCTCTTTCTTTTAGCATGAAGACATGATGAGACAAGTTAATAACTGGAAACACATTTTTATCCGTGCTTCTTTGTGATATAACAAAATCTGGCAGGGGAACTGGAAACTCCATCCAAGAGCAAAAACCAACAGGGACAGAGTGAAGAAAAGCGAAGGTGGTCTGTGCTTCAGGAAGGCACCTCTTTAAATGTGTTTTTATTTTAAAAGTCCGTGTTACACGTGTGAACATGGGACAGTTCAACAGCCGCAGCAATCAGGATTGAAAAAAGGTTTGGGTTCGAGTCTCGGTAGCTTTCAGAAGAACCCAGCAGAGGCTCAGACGTCAGATTTGGCTCCGGGGAGAAAAGGCTCAAATACCTCATCAACACTCCTCATTACTAAAAGTGCCAAATGAGTTCACCACAGCCTGGACCTGCTCATTATGTCTTTTGAGAGACAATTGAACTGCAACACGCTCATCGTGTCGAGCTGGAAAGGCTTCGGACGCTGTGAATGGAGCCTTTTATGAAACGCAGGCCAGAACTGTGAAGCAGTTCATCGTATTTCAGCCTGTCGTCCTGTGTGAGGGGAGGAAGGCTGAAATGTTTTAAATATGTGCCCCGCTATTGTGCACGATTTCCTGGAAAGACTCCAACCGTCAGCTAAAAATGATCAGAGCCAGCTCAATTAGTGAGTGGATAAGAACTGGGGGGGAAAAAATCTGCTCTTGATAGATTTCGGAAGTATTTTGATGAAGTATAAACTCAGGGGTTCTGCTGAGCACCTTTATCAGCCATGAAAGCAAACACATCTATCAGACTCAATTAACTTAACACAATTTGGCCCTCTTGGGATCAAAAGACTGCCTGCTTGATTTGAATGCTTCAGTTCCTCTCAAACACTGGCGAGGAACAACTGGAGCTGAGCATTTTGCATTTGTTTGGAAGATTTTGATTGCTGCAAAAACAACGAGAGGTAGAGAAAGGAACACGATCTTTTCCTCGCTCTGCATGACGCCCTCTGATTGTCTCGCCTTCAACTTTGCATGCAAGAACAAAAGTATGACTTTTAAGCAGAAATTTATCGCCTCGAGTCGAACATTTTCTGTTTTTCTCTCTCGATCTGGGTGAGCAGGGTGCACAGAGTGCTTACAGAGTGCGTGATTTATACCCACTGACTGCCCCCGGCTGTTTTATTTGCCCGAGCCAAGACTAAGCATGCATAGCTGAATTGGCCCACAGGACTTGTTCAAACATTCACGGAATGCCAACTGGAGAGATTTTCTGCAAAAACAACAAATAAAAAAACAAATTTGCACATTATTTACCCTGATGGGAAGGATGCGTCTAATTTCAGTTTTTACATAACTGAAATTAGACGGATGAAAAAGACAAGCTGACAGCTGCTGCTTAACAGACATGCTGCTTGTAGACTGTCAACTTTACTTTCAGAGTATTATCGGCAAAATAAAAATGGCGGGTGGCGTTACTTTATGTTCCACATCATGAGTATTTGTGAATTTACAAAGAGCCACATCTGTCTTCTTTTGTAAAATGGAGCAGCAGTTTGCAGAAACACGTGGACAGAGCATCACTTTTATCTCTATACAGTCACTCTCTGCATATTTATTCGAACTTTATTTAAACAGTATGATATAACATTTCCATAGTTTTGTGACCATAACTTTGAAAAACATGGAATGTTACCAAACTTGCCTGCTGACCATAACCAGTCTGATGCCTCCATCCATGCAAACTGAGTCTGATTAAAAACAAAGTAAATGCATTTTTATTAAGTTCAGAAGTTTAGAAGTGAGTTTGGGTAAAAAGTTTTAAAGGTGTGAACTTTTTTACCTGCGGTGGATCACTCTCTTGGTGTCGTCTTTTGCAATGAATTCACAATATTTGGTTTCAGATATTGTGAAGGCTGAAGCTAACAGCAGCAAGACGTGTGAGATCATTCCTTTTCAGAGAGTTAAACTATAAAATTACTGGCATTGAAAAGTATTAACAAGAAGTGAAGAAAGTACTGAGAAAAGAAAAATCTTTGTCCAAAATAAATCAGTCTTCTAAAATAAATCATGTAATTTTTATAGTCTCTTGGGTTTGGTTCAATTAAGTTGTCATGATTCATTTTGATTTGTTACTGTCGCCCTTTTTCGCTGAGTCAAACCAGACTCATGACAACTGAACTAAAAAACTAAACGCATAGTAAAGAAATTTCACTTGTAGTTCCAAACATATTTAAACCTTTTTTTGGCTCACTTGTTGTCACTCCAACCAGATTAATCATCTCCTATGATTAATCTGGCGCCTACCAGGCAGTGTGCGTTAACTGTAAAGTCATTTCAAATTATTCACAATGTGTGAGTTAACCAGACTGATTGTAAACTGTATCGGCGCAGCCGCCTGGCTAACATCCCCTTTTCTCTCTATCGGTGGTAAACCTTAACTATAAACCTCCGTCGGATTGTAGAGGTTTATTGAGAAATGCTGATCTTTTCACAAAAGCTCAGGGTTTAGTACTTTCAGCTTAAGTTGTAAGTTGTTTTGCTCAGTTCTCAGTTTTTGGCGGGAGCTGCTTCTCTCTGGGCAGCGAGAAGGAGAGATGGCTGCAATCAGTCGGGTCAGAGAGCAAGCACAAGATAATATGAAGGTCTTTTTTTTTTTGTTTTTGTGAACATAATGAAGCCGTGGAGGGGAAGTGCGTCATTTTCAAAATATTGGTCCATGCCTTCAGTGAGAGCTGGACAGAGCTGTCTGGTGCAAAGTGTGAAAGAAACACAGTGGGTCATTGTCTAGAAGGGAGGAGGGCGAGTGGAGGGAGGGAGCGACAGGGAGAGCATGTCGAAAGTTCACAGAGAAGGGAAGCAAGGTTTTTCTGACCCAATCTGCAGTTGCACGGTGACTGAGTCATGGGAACCGCAGTTATAAAGTGGCACCTGTTGATCAAGCAGGGGCTGAAGACAGACGGCGCACAGAGCCGCTGAGCAGAGATCCGCCTCTGCTGCAAACAGTTCACTTCACAGGAATGGTATTTTAATGTTAGGACATCGCCATAATAAAACAAAAATTGCTTCAGATAGTTTATGTTGAATCAAAGCAGATGCCCCTTCAGGGGGTGGATAAGTCAGAACAGTTATTAACCCCTGCAATAAAGGCGATAAAGGCGTCTGTGGTGCAAAACGAAACTTTAAACCAAAGGAAGACTTTTCAAACAAGCCAGCAAAGAGAGATGTAAATGAAATCATGATCTTAGTTTTATGGGGAAGATTTTAAACTCTCTATTAAATCTCTGAATTTTTTTATTTGCATCTGATTCCATTTATTAGTCCACATATGTATTTGTTTGCAAACATTACAGGATGGGAGCACTTTCACCTGACTGGTTTAAAGATCTGACCTTTAATAAATGCACATTTTCTTTTTTTAGACATTTTTGTTGACTCAGGATTGCAATTCCTTATGCAAAAGTTTTAATGTAAAAAATAATTATTTAATGGTTCATAATGTAGATGATCCATTCTTGCTCACTTTATTGTAATAATTCAAGGAATTATTTGTGGTTCTGTTTCAATGTATGCTTTCAGACCAAAATAACAATGGATGAAAGTTATTTCATTATTTTTTTGTCTGTGTGTGAATGCCGTGACTGTTTTATTCAAGGATATCTTACTTTGACAAACTCCTGCCAGCTTGTTTCGTTGGCTCTGATCTTTTCTCAGCTAAATATTTTGTTTGATGTTTTAACTTTTGTGTGTTTTTCATTTCTGAAGACTTTTGTGTTGCTCGCTTCTCAGAGAGCTGCCCACAAGTATGTGTGTGTTTTAGTTCAAAATCCCTGTTTAGTTTAGAAGCAAAAAAGAATCACGATAATTTCAAATCTTTTGGTTTGAAAATCACTTGAAGCTGTTTTCTGCAAAATGGCTGCACCCTGGGCAAAAGAACTGTTCAAATAAATGAGTAATAAGGCAAAGTTAATATAACACTCATGCCAATCATCTAATAACTGTGCCTCTCTTGAATGTTTCAACTCGATGCCACCAAAAATATTTCATCTCTACCAAGAACTCGGCTTACACAGATCTCCAGAGCTTTGCTTAATAGAAACCTTGAGGCGTTAGTGCTGCGAGGTCCTTTGTGCTGCAGCCGGCGGAGTGCAGGTCTGGGATGAATCAGCGCTGAGCAAGAGGGCGCATCTTGTTTGAAGCACATACTTCCAGCAGGAACATACAAGAAACAGCCATGAGCAGTCAAGCACTGTTTTTAATGGTGTAAAATAAACACTGTATAGTTGGAAATAGCTGCGTGAGGTACAAAGTGCGTTCAGATATAATTGCCCCACAGCAAAAAATATAATCACTGAAGATATGTGAAAGCTGTCAAGGTTTAAAAATAACCCAAATCTTTCTGCTACATAAAAACTGTTTTAACCTCAGAGAGAGGGAGGGATCTCTTACAACCCTCTGCACAGTTTTGTACTTTTTGAAAGCTACACTTAAAAGCTACTTCATTAAAAAAAAAAAACATTCAACAGTCAAGTAGACACAGCCAGAAACCAATATACTATAAATAATGTGACAAAACCTTGGCTAATATTTACAAGTGATGAATAACAACCTTGTTCACATGCAGAACAATTTGTGCCTTCTTTAAAATTAAATGCAAAAACAGGCATCAAAGAAATTGTTCAAATAGTTTGCTGAAGCAAAATTCCTCTCAAAATGTTACTGCTACAAAAAATAAAGTAACAGCCTACAATTTACACATGTCAGGTACAACATAAGTAATTCACTACTCCTCTAAACCAGAGGCATCTCCAGAAATCTTTCAAAGAGAATCCGATACCGTCATTGCAAAATGTGATTTCCCTCTTTACAGATTCCTTCTGGTTTTACTTTTGCCTAAAAGTTTCAGATCACCAAATAGATTTACTCAGGACTTCCAGCAATCGCTTCTCAATAGCCGAGGGTCCAGAACCTCTGAATGAAGCAAAACATAGAACAAAGATCTGGTTTCTACCAGCATACTGGTAATGTGAACAGAATTACACTCTTCCGATGAAATTGCTCAAGCTCCAGAATGGATATAAAGTAAGGTAGGGAAACTTCTTTCATTGCACTAGCAGGGTTTTACCTTTAGTCCTGAGAGTGTATGCTAAGCTAAAGGAGGAACTAATGAGCATCAGGCAGGATAATACATCAGAGATCCTGAAATATGGCCCCAAAAGAGGAACTGCTCAATGTCTCTGGCAAGAAAATCTCAGTATGCAAGAGCAGCTCCAAGTGGAATCATCATGGGGGGATAAATCTCTATTTTTACCTACAAAGTGCTAACAAGGGCTGAAGAAAAACACAAAGGCAAAACTCATGGCAGCAGAGAAAAAATAAAGATCAGGTTCTACCACATCAGACAGGAACAGAGAGTTTGGCTGTGAAGAGACGCCACTGGACCAGTCAACGACATAACAGACTTCTGACCAGAAAAGTAAACACGGGATGCCGTTACCAAGAGGCTGAACTAGTGCAAAGGAACACTTGTGCACTAAGTGCTAAGTGTGGGCCGAAGGATTCGCTGTCAAAATGGGAAACACCAACAAGAGCAGCCGAGAATAAGTCTGAGACAGGAAATGGCAAACCAACCAGAGTTTGTGATGGTGGACTAAGAAGTAAAGATGCAGAAGAAGAAAACTTAGCAATCCAAAGTGAGAAATCTGAGAAACACCATGGACGGAAAGAGAAAACTGAGATGTTGTGGACAGTATTGAACATGAAAGGGTAAAAGTAAAAGGGACGACAGTAGCAACGGATGGTAGAAGATCATCCCTCAATTGGTGGGTTGCTGGATTAATTCTGTATTATGTCTTTGAACACAATGACATAATATATTGTCATTGTGTTGATGGTGGTCAGAGGGTTCAGTAGCCTCCCCTCTGTCGCTGTGCCCCAGGGTAGCCGCCATCAACCTGTGAATGGGTGAATGACTGAAGGGAGTCTGTATCACTTTGGGGTCCTCTAGATTTGATAACGCGCTATACGAGCTATCTTTCAGTGGCCTGAGTGTTGCCAGTGCTCCTGGTCTTGGGAGAATTGAGGCCATAAAATTTGTAGCCCGTTACTGGTGGTGCTAACACCAGTATCTGGGACCAGTCAGCACACCAGAGCTGCCACTGTATACATGTTACGACCCGATTGTCCAGCCATCATGATCTGTTATCTGTCAAAATCGCCTCAATTCTTACAATAACGTATGTTTTTTTCTCTTCCAACACATCAACATTAAGTACACAATTCCTTTGATCCCTATTCTAATATCCTGTGTTATTAATAAACTCACTGCCAGCTGTAACTGCAAAGCAGCATTTTCCATTTTACCTGTTGTTGGTCATAATGTAATGAGCAACAGGTGTATACAGCTAGTGCAATATGCCTATTGTCATAAAATTTTCAGCTTTAAGCCTAATTGATCAAATCTAGTGATGTTTTATTACAAGAATCGTAAACAAGATGGATGTCAAAATATCACCGTTTGAAGACACCAAACAAAAATGGCAAAGATGCATAAAAAAGTTCACTTGCATAAATAAAGTAAAATAAAAGTAAAAACAAGTGCAGCTTGTATGAATAAATGTCATTTGATATACAATTGAGTGTGGATGTTGATATCATGAGTGGCTGCTATGGTGAACACAGGCCTTCGGTTTGCTTTGGATTCAAGAACGTCACTATTTCCCGAATGCCGTTTCCACAAACGGTGGTCTGAGAAGCTCTGCTCAGGTTTTCTCCCAACTCTTTAAATTTTTTCCACGTGTCTGAAAAAAAAAAACATATTTAAATTTACTTAAATAAGATACACAAACTGAGCAAAATGTGTCAAAAAAAACTTATAGGACACATAAAGCAAGTAAACAGAGATATTTTATATAGTCACAGAACGTGATAATCCACTAAATGGTTTCTAGATTCTTTTCATTTCCATTGTTGTCAAAACACAAACAAGAGGATATTCTTAAAAGATGTGAGTCCATTCTTCCAGTCTTTTGTGGGAGGATTTGCTCATTAATCCAGATCAGCTCGATCTCTTTGTGAAAATCAAATCCTGAAGCTCTGAAGCTTTTCTGTGTCAGGATTTCTGGTTTTGGTTTTCGGCTCCTTGTCTCATCTTGGCGTCAACAAGTCTCCATAACCACAGTATCTACATGCTAACTGGTTATTTGGAAGCAACCCAGGAAAAGCGCATGATTTGTATCTGCAGTGTTATAGAAGATGTGAAGAAGCGACCGTGTGCAGACAGGGATGCTGATAAAGGAACCAGTAATTACTGTGATATATTCTTGGTGGATATCCTCACATTTTAGGTTGGATTCTTATCCAACCTATAATTATCATTGAAAATATACTGAAATGTGAACTTTTTTATCATTTATATCTAGAAGTGTGGATGACACTGTATGCTACCAACTAAAACAGCATTAAGATTTGTGTTCTTTTCATGCACGACAAAGCATGTGGTAACTTTAAATAGTTGTCTGCAAGCCACTGAATGCTAATTAAAATGTAACAACCTTCAACATTTTTATTTTAAATATTTTGATAGTAGATGGAGAGTGACCTCAGAGATAGTTTACCATCATAATTGCATCATGAATGTGTTTAAAAACATCAGTAAAGCCAGAAGAACACAAACCTTCATCAAGAGCAGTAAGAAGAGTATAATTTTCTGGATGATCTGTGATGTCTTTCCTTTGAACGTCACCAATTTCCATTATTTGTAAAACACCTAGAAGAAGACATTTGCCATGTTTAAACGTTGCTGGTTATCAAACAAACTTTTTCAAATGATGATGATTATTATCTTTTTATTTATTCATTTAATTCGTCCCTCGAGTTGATTCTCATGCATTTCCCCGTCCTTTTGATGAAATAATCACTTAAAAACTACTTTTTGAATTTATTCCGGTACCCTGACATTAAAATGTGCTTAATCTGAAATAGTAAACTTGATCACAAAAACTAACAAGAGAATAAACTTAGAAGCAAATATTTTTTTACATTCGTATTGACAGTTCTTAACTACGCTTTTTCTGTGAAGTGAAAATACAATCCTGTCTTCCACAGACATATTTTTTAAATGTTTTTTCTTTTCTAGTCCACGATACCTTCTGCTGTGTTCCAGGCTTGCACTTCAATCTCAGCAGTGCTCTGTCTTTCAGCAGCGATGATTCTAACCATGTTGGGAGAATCAACTTTCAAGGCTGGTTCTACTTTATACACCAAAAGGTGGTTTTTATGCCCAAGATGGCACTGGGTCTGGTTCATTTCAGCTTTTCTCTCTGCAGAGGAAATAAAAAAAACACAGAGAAAGAGGTTGAAAGGATAAAATGTTTCCATGGTTCTCGGTGTAATCACCCCGTTGTGCCTGTGAGTCACATGTACCTTTACCTGGACAAGTCTTACAGCATTTACCCGCCAATTTTATTGGATGCTGGCACGGGTACTGGCTCGGACACGTGATGCGCTTGCAGTCTTGGAGGCCATCGATGCAAGTGCAAACGATGCATTCCAGGACCTTCCCCAAAACTGGATGCCACATGTCTCCATGCGAGTACGTGTTGCCGTTGTATAAACACACTGAGACAAATAGGAAACATGTGAGGCGCATTCGGGAACAATCGTAAACGTGTGAGGAACGTGCCAATAAATTCAAACGGCCACATATTATCTTTATGTTTGCACATAAAAGCCTCACCTCGCTGGTGTTTCCTCTGCAGCAAAATCCTGACCGTGGTCTTCGAGGCCCCTCTGAGGTTGAGCCTGCTGAGGCTCAGAGCCCTGGCAGAGGCCTTCGTCCTGGTGGCACGGTCCGACCTCACCCTGCTCTGCTCGCCAGAACACTGGTCGACTGAATGCCTCTGTTGTGAATACAGACATAATAAAAAACAGTTGGTCATCTATTCAGCTTTTGGCTCAGCTTGCTTTTTTCCCCTCTGACTGATAGCTGCGGGAGCATCACATCATGTCCTAAATCATAAAAAGCTGGCTGCAGACGTCTGAAACGCTCACGTCTCATTGCTTTTCCAGCAAAGGAAGAAAGGTTGCCAGTAAGAGTAGTCGCTGTGGCCAAACGGTCTGTGGAAGTTGAAGGGGGAAAAATGGAAATCTTTGCATTTAAGCATTGGATCAAACCCAATACCTCAAAACAATTATCTAAAGAGTAGAAATTGATAAAAACACAGAGGATCCTCGTCAGGAACTAAACATACTTTTTATTAAATTGCATCTTTCATTCCATCAATAGTTTCTGCTTTTTATATGTTATCATGTTACAACTATTAAACTTTTTGTATTTTTATATCATCTTATGAGATAGAAAAACACAAAGTTGAGTATAATTGTGCAGCAGAAAGAAAGTGACGTGTTTATATATATTCAGCCGCCTTATGTCTGATACACCAGTGCGGTTCACGTCGGAGTGACAGATTCTCGGCTCCCCAGGAGTTTCATGTTTCACTTTACTTCCACTTCACAATCCCTCCTCTTCTTTTGTGTTGGCCCAGCTAACTGACATGATGTATTTGTTTATAAGACGATTAAAATGCAAAAAAGTCTAAGATACGATACATACGACGCCTCTGTTCAGCTGATGGTTTCCATCCTCGGTGGACGATGCGCCGCCGCTGCCGCTGCTGTGGTCTGAGAAGGAAAAAGTATTTTGCATGATTAACTTTTACCATATAGTGCAGCTTTTCTCAAATTTCCATTATTATGCATTTCTTTTGTTCAAAACCAGTTTATTGTTCAATACCAATGAACTTACCTTTTACAATCAGTGTAGATCAGACGTGTTACAGAATTATAATCCTACAGTAATGTTACACTTACATGTTTTTAAAGATGAAAACAAAAAACAATGTGAATGTTTTTATCCGACTGGACGAGTTTGGCTACCTTTACACACCAAGCAGCAGGTATCTGGGAGAGAAGCTGGTGAAGAACAGGTGACAGGTTGGCATGTTTTCAGAGCGCAGAAGATATTTCCATTCTGTGAAAAGAAGACAGAATCATCACCAAAGTGTTCAACTTTGAAATAACCATCATAACCTGATTTTTTTTTATTTAGTTATGTGAGTCATATTGCATAAAACAAAAGAGATGTGTGAGCTATGTTCAATTTGGTTATAGCAAAAACAAAACTGCAATGGAGAACTCCAACAGATGGAGGAAATGTGACACAGTTTCTCTGTTGTACAAAAAATATGACTTGAAACTGTTGGTGCTGAGTTTATGGTTACACATTTTCAGATTCATTAACTTCTCACATCAGGTGGCCTCGCGAAGAGCGCCACATCGAGTTCAGCTTTGGCTGCATGTCTCTGCTTTTCCTCTGCTGATCACAAGCGAGCGCAGCTACAGTGAGATGTTTTCACCTTCTGCATGCTGATAATGTGATTTCTCAATGTGCCTCCGCTTGTAGTGCGCAGCGTTAGCAACGGCGGGCACAGATGGTGGGGAAAAAAAATACAATTAAGATCACATCAAAAGAAACGGTGTGCAAAATTAAAGTTGTTCCGCACAGTTTCGTGTGCCGTTCTACATTTTAACCACCTGAGGATAAATAATCTAAAAATGGTGGCAGTGCAGAGATCCCAGCGGTTTGACGGTTCCTATGTCAAAAATGGATATTACAGCTCATTTACTTGCAGTTTTTGGTTTACTGTACAATGCCGAATGTATTTGTTGATAATCCTGGTAAAAATAAATTGATCTTCTATTGCAGCAGCTAAATCTTAAACTTCAAATTCGGAAAAAATACAACTTCTGTATTGAAGCCATTTGTTCACTGAGCAAAAAAATAAAAAAAATCTTACGTTGAGAAATAATTGTTTCAAACCACAACACCAGTGCACAATTATTAATTATTACTATTCAGAGCAACATCCTCTTCCAACTAAAGCAGCTCCAGTTTCCTACAGGGACCAGAAAATGCTGCTGGATGTTTTCCTCTGTTATTAACTTGTTATTGTTTTATGCATGTATTTCCTTTAACCAGAACATTAAAAATAAAAAAACCTCGATGACTCTCCTAGACTCGGATGGAACTTACTGAGCATGTGCACATGACGCACTGATTGCTCTGCCTGGATGAAAAGAGGCCCTGGGTGGTGAAGGTCTCCCCTGGCTGATAGACAGTCCCGTTGTGGCTGCAGGTTTTGACTGGCGCCCTCAGTCCTGCGGGGATCCTGGGCTCCTCTGAGGAGGAGGAGGAGGAGGAGAAGGAGGAGGAGGAGGAGGAGGAGGAGGGAGAGGAGGAGGAGGAGGAGGAGGAGGAGGACGGAGAGGAGGAGGAGGAGGAGGAGGAAGGAGAGGAGGAGGAGGAGGAGGAGGACGGAGAGGAGGAGGAGGAGGAGGAGGAGGGAGAGGAGAGGAGGAGGAGGAGGAGGACACGTCACACACATGCACAGCCATTGCGCTTCTCTCTCTGGCGCCCGGAGGTGCCAACGCCGGAGCATACCTGTGCACCTTGGACAACACCGCTGAGGCTCTGTCACGGGGTTCTCACACGCCAGCGCAGGACACTTGATAGTGTTGCACTTCACATGGCCTGTCTGAGGGAAGAGGTGACATGTTTTAAAGCACCCTCCTTTACGGACTGGACTCCCCTTGTTTGGGAAAAGTACCTCTGTGCAGACGCAGCGCATGCAGAACATGTATCCAAAGGGCTCCAGATACGGATGCCAGCTGTCTCCTGGTCTGTAGGTTTTGTCTTTAAAAGTACAAACCACTCCGGAGCCTGAGTGTCACAAAGAAACCATCAACATTTTCCCTCCAAACGGAAACCTCGTCACGATTTTGTTCACACTTAAAACAAACGCTGTTAATTATTATTGTAGTTAAACTGTTATGACGGAATAGGTTGAACAAAACGCCATGTGTGGCTCGGATCAGAGAGCGAGCGGAGCCCCACTTCTCTGTCTCTTTCCTCCCATGTTAAAAGCCTCCGCGCGTCTGATCGGGATCAATAAGATAAAAAGTCGCCGACAGAATCGGCTCCTACCTCTGCGAGGTTTCAGCTCCGCGCATGGAAACCACATGATGAAACAGAACAAAAACACAGGCTTCATTTTTTCCCCCACATGTGCGTGACTGCATGAGTCTTCAGTGCGCAATACATGTGCGCTTCAGTGAGAGGTAAAAAAAAAAAAAACTCAAAAAAAAAAAACCTGCAGGACAGTGTGAAACAAAGATTTAGAGGAAGAACAAAAAAGGGGGAAAAATCCCATATTTGTCTGGGTTATTCTATGGCGCCTTCTTCAGGAGGCAAATTGTGATGACAGTGGAGTGAACATCAGGCAAAGTCCAAATATGGACAGCAGCAATGTTTACATGAGGAACTGCTCACCATTTTGTTGCTCTAAGTATTCAAAACATTCAAAAACATGCATGTTCGCCAAGTTAAGCTAAACTGATGATGATGATGATGATGATGATGATGATGATGATGATGATGATGATGATGATGATGATGATGATGATGATGAACTAAAAATTACACTGGGAGCCAAAAGAACAGGTGTTCTGTCTGCGCTGCCCATTATTCCGTCCCACCTTGTGGTAATGCGCATGCGTACATCGATGCTCTGTCACAGACTGCTTACTCATCAGATACATCCTACCTGCGCACCTGCAATGACAGGTAGACATAGCTACGGAAGAGGATTAGGGCCACTAGGAAAAATAAATATATAACTTTAATTTCAGAATTCTGGGGGAAAAAAAAGTCATAATTCTGAGCTTAAAGTTAGATTTTGTATTTCCCAGTGGCCAATCCTCTTCCGTACATAGCTATCTATCCATCCTATGGTGGGAAAATCTGAGGAGAAGCAGCTTTGCACATGCGTGATTCATTTCCAATGCGGACAGACTGGGGTTCAGTTCATTTTTTGTTCAATAGATTCAAATCTATTGACTCAAGGAGAGACCATTAAGCAACGCTTCATGTGGGAAAACGGAGAAACTGACGTCACAAAATGCATTTTTTTGTACCTTTATTTTAAGACAGTAAAAAGTTCCTGTCATACACACAGACACCAGCTTTGCATTTTTGCGAGTACAAACAAGAAAAACATAAAATTTCATGTCAGAGTTCCCCATCAGTTTAAATCAGTTATCACGATGTTTCGTGATAAATGGAAACTCTAAGAGCAGTTTCCATTTTTATTCCTGGAGGTGGCGTCTCTGTGTGCAGGTGTGCAGGTTGCTGTGGGACTGTCAGAGTGGGAGGGGCTCAAGGCAGCGTGGGAATTCTGGCTCTTCAGGTTTTTATTTTTATTTTTGTTCCTTAATTTATTATCCAACAGAAAGATAAAGTGTAATGTGCTTTTTAGAGTTTTATATGAGTTTGTTATTTGGCTTTTGACGGTTACATTCGCACATTTATCTGCTATGAGAATGATAATGGATGGAGCAGGAGCTTTTAGGTCAGAAATGTTCCCGTTTTGTCAGCTGTTGGCTCAGCTTGCCCAGACAAAATTAGTCTGGGAAATTTTTTCCTGATTGCCGTATTGATCCAGCAATCAGAAAACATGCTTCTGTTACACATCGGTTTGCTGCTCTAAAGTAATGGGTTTTAAATGTTTTCTCGTTTTTTATGTGTTGCTTTTTTAAATCTCAGCCTCTGAAAGGAGTGAAGGGATTATTTAAATCCACAAGGGGGCGCCCTGAACTGTCTTACACTGAAAGAAAATTAAATATTGTTTTAGTATAATGTAGAAAATAGTTACACACATAAAATTTGATCTCTATGTTGTTATATGCAACCACTGCACATTATCAGTTCAGCTTTACTGCTATTTTTACTTGATTTTATGTAAAAATAAAATCAAAGAAAATTGAAAAGTGGAGCAAAATTCTGTTTTTGTTTTTCAACTTTCTTTAAGTAAGTGGTTCATAGTTCAGTAAGGGGCTTGAAAGATGATAAATATGGTTGAAATTGGATGATTTTTCAACAGAAAAGTGGATCTGAAGGCCGAGCGTCTCTGTTTCTGTGGGGGTCATAGTTGAAGTTGGTAATGATCTGCACAGCTCTGGATTCTCACCAGTAAATAGTTTAATTCAAAAACATCAAAACGACAAGAAGTTCATAATTTACATTTAAACTAAATCCAAGCTGAACATTTTTCGTTAAGATCTATTGACTTATATTTGCAGAAATTAATCAAACATAAAGAAAAATTTACTTTACAAAACTTTATTGTACATTTTTAAATAGGCAATTTATGAATACATTTGTATTATTTAAAGTCGGATCAAAAGACACAGATGTACGGACACTAAAGAGTTTTAATAAATTAATGACACACTTAAATAATTACTACACAAATTATTTATTGTCATTTGATACTCTTCACTCTTCATAAGAGTCAGGACAGAGTTTGGTATTAAGCTTTGAAAATATAAAAAGCAAGTTTATCCCTCATAGTTTAGGGTTAAAAACTGCACATTTTGAAAACTTAAAAAAAAAATTGTCAGTCCTACATTATAAAAAAATAACTTGCTGTTTCTTTAAATTATTCTAAAAATATATTGGGGATAGATGATGAATAAAACATGTAGTGCTATAACAGTGCACTTAGGATCCAGTAGTGCAATCTTTTATTCTACAATATATTTTATACAGCATGTTTTTAATGTAGCATATTGGTGTATTAAAACGCTAAAAAATAAGAAGCGTGCTAGGTGTGTACAAAAATAAAGCTAACACAAAGTTGTAAGCAGCATTTATTAACACACATGGAAACAAAACAAGGTTTAAAAAGACATAATGACGCCACGCTATTCCTCCTTGGTTCAAAGACTGATGACGATTAAATAAATCTTAACGCTAAAAGGAGTTTTGTACCTTTACTCCATTTTAGTGGTACGACACCTGTCGCAGGACTTAAAATGAAAAGAAAAGAAGAAAAAAAAATTCTAAACTATCACACTCGGGTCAGTGCCGCTGTGTAGAAACAAAGCAAAGATCACGTTTAAAAATTCAGATAAAGTTGGTTTTAAAACTGGCTTATTCCTGTGATGGACACATTTAGCGAGGTTTAACTTCTCAAAGTAAAAAAAAAAAAAAAAAAAATCACCCCTTAATTAATAACTAACTAAAATTTTGTTTCTACATACACTGGGGATTTTTAAACATTATCGATGTTTAAAAATGTATCTGCAGCTGCAACTTGCTAAAGTACAGCCAAGGTACAAAATTAGCAGCGATTTTAAACAATAAAACTTTTCCTAACATTTTATAAATATGCAGCTGCATCAAAATTATAATTAAGCAACGAAAGATTTTATTTAAAAATGATCGTCATGTTTTTCTGAATGACAAAACACTTTCCAAACAGTTGACTCACACTGTTACGGTTTAAAATGGCATGTGGCATCCGATGACTAAGAACATGACAAGAAGATGTCAAAGAGTCGCCAATAATTCGCAAACCTAAATATCGTCCACTGGGCAAACTTTCAAATCACAGTCATGTTCATACAGACGTAAAACCTGGCCAGTCAATAAGCTATACTGTAAAATCCTAAAGTACGGAAAACTGCATCAACAGAAGAATCGAACTGCGCACACAAAGTAACACACACATCCACACACAACAGCAACAGCGGGAACTCAGAAACTGCTGTTCTGTGCCCCTGTGTCGTCTTCGCGCTTCTGCCGCTTCTTCGCTCGGATTTCGTTCATGGCTTCCTCTATGGAGCGCGTGTCCCTTTTGTTGGCCACCGGCACTGCGAGAAAGAAATAACCGCAGCGTCAATACGGAGAAGGATTCACAGCTGAAGTATTTACCTGTTTTACGTGAGGCAGCGAAAATTCTCACCACAGCCGTAACTCCTGTTCGCCTCCAGTGTGTGAGCCGCATCTTTAGCAGCTGAGGTCCCGATCAGGTGACTGTACTTGTCTCTGTAATTGGAGTTGGGACATGCTTGTGTCTTTTCTGTCTGAGTGGATGCTGCTTCTTCTACTGCAGCCCGTTCCTGTGAGGGGGAGGAATCAGGAAATGAATTCGGAAAAAATGTAAATAAAAGATGGAAGGTATTCCACAGAGTATCTTTTAAGAAAATAAAACACTTAAAATGATCAATTTCTTTTGTTTTTACTGTTTTTAGGTATATGTGAGTAAAATGAACATTGTTGTTTTATTCTATGAACCACTGAAAACATGTCACGGAAATTCCAAGCAAAAATTTTGTATTAATTTGCAGTAAATGAGAAATGGTCAAAATCATGAAAAAGATGCAGAGTTTTCAGAATAATGCAAAAAAAAAAAAAAAAAGTTCAAATTCATTTAGAAACAACAACACTAATGTTTTAACTCTGTTCTGAAATCAATATTTGATGGAATGATCAGGAGGTTTTCAATAAGGTTTGTTCTTTTATTAAAACAACATAATTCCTAATATTTATTTACCCAGAATTTCAAACAAAGGTCAGAAGAAAGAGTCTAAGCTACATCTGTCTTGACCGCAGGTCTCTATAAAGTTCCTTCAGTTTGTTGGTATTTTACTTCATCTTGTGGTAAAATATCAACATTCTTCTTGTAAATATTCCAATAATCCGCCACCAATTGGTTTGAGGAAAAAGAATAGACTTCAACAAAATATAGAATTTGATTTCTAAGTGTGTTGAATTTGATGTTTTTAATCCCACACTTACTTTTAGTCTGCGTCGCTGTTCTGCCAGCTGCGGATCCCACTCTTCTCCTTTGCGATACGCCTCCAGCTCTTCGTCCGACGGCGCAAACTCCTGAGCTCAATAATCACATTTCTCCTCCGTCAGCCACTAAATTAAACACTGAGAGTTTGTTCTGAAAATCCAACAACTTGGTAAGAGCAAAGACTTAATACCTTCTTAAACAGCATGACGTAGCGACTCTCCTCATCCTCTCCGAAAGAAAACGAAGTGAGACCAGCCACTTCTGCAACATCATGCCTATAAAAACACACAATGAGTTTATTATCAATAAACCGGAAAGGGCCGAGAATGCGACAAAAATAAAATAGTGATTTCTTACAGTATACTCCTTTCAATTTTTCCCATAGGGTTGTATTTTCTTTTTTGTTGTGAGCTGTCTTGGATGAAATCCGACACCTCTTTCTCCATCTGGATTTAAGATGATGAATAATTAGGTGAAACGGCAACCACATGTGGGAAAACATTTCTTTTACTTGAAGGTCTCACCTTCTTCCTAAACTCTGCTTTCTTTCTTTTTTCCAATTCTTCCATCTTCTTTAGTCTTGCAGCTTGCTCTTTAAGAAAAAAAGTTTTTTGAGGTGAATAGGACAGTCTTGTAGCTTTTGCTCAGTCATGTAACTGGAACGAATTAAGCCACAACACTTAAATAGAAGACAGATATCTACAACAAGGTTTCCCCCAGAAAACTTGCTAAGCCCTGTGCCTGTTGTATGGCAATCATTCATCCAGCGGCCCGTCATGTTTCTGATTTAAAAAATGTTTAAAGTTGACAGAAAATTTTAAAATATCACTTGATGATTATGTGTTATTGAAAGATTGGAAGATTGAACACCAACTATAAAGCCTTAAAAAAACGCAATAAATAAATAAATAAATAAACTTTCATCATGCTTAGCCTGGTGGGGGCACAAGTAAAGCCTGGCGGCCCACCAGGCTTATAAGTTCACCAAATACTGGGGGAAACCCTGCTTCAATCTTGGAAAAATATATTTCAATTGACACAAATTTTTAATCTTATATCCAAGATGTAGAGTTTCTGATATTTCGTTTGTAATGTACATTCTTTCATGTAACGCTACAAGTGTTTCAATATATTAGGTTCACCAAATACCTTCAACCCTACCGATGCTACTTAATTTATTGTTTAACACACAACAAACAATATTGTGTGTTAATTCTTTTTGCAAAAAAAAATACAAAAAAAGTAGCAAATTGATAAAAATTTTCTGGTCAGCATTTGTTCCAGACTTTGACGACGTACTGTGCAGTCGCACTTCAACGTTGAAGAAAGTGAACAAGTGGAGGACAACAGAATAAAACAAAATAAAATAAAATAGATTAGCAAAGGAAACAGATGTGTGTTAGAAATCCCCTTGCTGGTGTTAACGCCTTATTATTTATGTACTGTTTGACTGTCCCGTTTAAAAATGAAAAAATACTTCCATGTCAATGGATTGCAGCATTGTACGCTGAACAAGAACATTCATATCAAAATAAATATTTTTGTGCACCTTAAGTCCTAAAACTTTAATCAATATTAAACTAATGTGATTTTTAAAAAATAAATCAATAATTAGTGAATTACTCAACACATCTCAAATTATAATATTAATTAAATTAAATAACCCCATAAATAATTAAATAATTACAGGTGAAATTAACAACAGATATGTAAAAATAATTAACTAAAAATGGAGATTAACACATAATGATATGTTTTTATTCTATAACAGATCAAAATAAATTGGGATTTAATAAAATATTTGGATTATTTTATTTAATGTATGCATTCAAGTTTCATATTATATTTTTAATACATTTATTTCCACATTGTTTGTAAGATTACCAGGCTCCTGGCCTTCATTAGTGCCCGAGCTCTGTAAAAGTGCCTGTAGCCATTTCTAATAGTACTGACGGTAGTTTAATAATTAATCGATAATCTCTTGTCAGGGAGGAAATATAGCCTAATGAAAGCGCAGATAAAAGGATGTGAATTTGAGGAAGATCTCATGTATTTTTCAGGTGAACAGTGTGGTGTTTGTTTACGGCAGCCTGCGAGTCCAACCGAGGCGTCAACATGAAACTGGAAGCTCAAATGTCCATTGGTAGCAAAACAAATGCCTCCTGTAGTTTTAGACCGTCGCTGGCACCCGCTTTTAGGCGCCATTTCCCCATTTCACGCGAAGATGAAGCGAGTCCTTAGCTGAACAGCATGCCGCCTACCTCGAGCCTTTCGTCGGCTTTCTTGGTCGCCGACTGTAGGAGGTTTCTCCATCGAGTTTAGGATTGAACCAAGGAGGTCCGCCATCTTGCAATCATAAACCTCTTCTCCAGCCGAACACGGTGCGCGTGCGTGTTAGGGCTTCGTATTCTTCTCTGTAGAGAAAATCCGCATTCAAACTATGTGCTGCCACCACGTCCCAAGGGGCGGTAGTGCTGCAGGGAAACGTCATATTTATTGATTTAAGGTCGTGGTTCCCCGCCACTTTTATTCTGTTTGAGAATAGAGTAAATACACACACAAATAAACACATTATGTGATGAGAAAACAAGTTGTACAATACAAGCTCAACCTCATTAGCTCAATTGTAAACCTCACTGCTGAAGATGGCAAAACTCTAACAAATAATAGAAAGAAAATATATTTAAACATATTTAAAATCCCATATTTTATTTTCAGGTTGTTGAAGATTTAAAGCAATGACTTAGGTCAGTTTAGGATAGAAAATAAGACAGGCATTTAAAGATAATAAATTGTAAAAATATTACTTGCTTTTTGGTGCGGTTCCATGCCGCCTACCTCGACAGTTTGTCTTCTGTGACGAGCTCAAAGTCTTTGAGGTTAAAGAGCGTCTTGGCCTAATCTTTAACTTCAGTTATAGATTTTTGATCAGATTTAACTGTGGCTCTGGCTCGGACTCTTCCTGTGTTGAATCGGCCAGGTAAATGAATAATTTATAGTGTGTATATATGAACAATCATATGTCTTCTCACTCTTCCAAAGTAAAGTTGTGTTATGAAAATAAATATTTAGCAAAAATTAAATGCAAGTTTACACAAATTTAGTTGTCCTCCTGTGGCCATTTGCCTTGTATCATATTGTCTAATATTTCCCATTTTGAAGAGTGCATAAGAGAATTGTGCCATTGTGTTATGTCAGATATAAACCCAAGAGATACAGAAAGTTGTTAAATACTCATTTTAGTTTATAGCCGCTAAAAGATAAGTTAAGTCGAAAGAAGTGATTAACATTTCTAAATGACAACATTCATTAAATAAATCTTAAATTTAAGAAAAAAATCCAGTGTGAGAATATGTTTTAAATTTATGAAGTAAAAGCTGATTATAATTTCTTAAAATGTGGTAATGTGTGGATAATCTCTTGGTTTTTACTGAGGCAGACAGAAGACAGGATAAACATGTAAATAAACATCTTTACGTAAGCAACCGGGGCGCAAGCTTTACAATCGTGCATGTATGTGTTCATACCTTTTTATTGTTAAGTTAACAATTCTCCCTTGCGTCACTGGGGCATGTTTTGTGAAGCGTGATTGTAGTTTCACAGCATCAGCAATAATTGAGAACTAGAGCCATATTCAGATGTGGAGAGAGGCCTGGATGAGCAGAAGGCCAGGCTGTGAAAACACAGACAGCGCCCCAACCTGCACTGCTAAACAAACATCTCCTGGAAATTCAACTTTTGCTTTGCTGTGATCCACTCCTCGGTTCAATCAAAGTATTGCATGTAAGTATAATTTGACACAACAAACCTATTTTTATTTCAGCAGATGTTGAAAGCTAAACAATCTGCTCAATGAGTTCTCAGAACTTTGAAAACACAGCTCAGTGATTTTTGTGTGTTGGGTAACATGGCAGCCGTGACCTCCACGCCCCAGACATCTTTCAGTGATGCTCTTGTTGTGATTTGGACAGACAGGACGGACTCCTCCCCCCCGTCGGGTTTGAAATGCTGTATAAATGCAGCATCAGTGTGTCAGCAGCAGTCTGAACGTTAATTGGCGCCCAAACATGAAAGGACTGAGCTTGGTTCTTCTCGTTCTTCTCCTGATGTTTGCGACTGCGGAGGGTGAGCAATAGATGAATCTGTTTTGCTACATTGTGAAGCCAAAATAAAGCAATTTATAACAACAATCTCATCTGTTTGTGTTTCTCTGATATCAATAATTTTAAGTGTGACAATTTAAAAAAAAAAAGAAAAAAAAGATGACTTAATTTCTTGTCATCAGGAGAAGATCCAGAGATGCAGTATTGGACCTGTGGGTACAGAGGACTCTGCAGACGGTTCTGCTATGCCCAAGAGTATATTGTCGGACACCATGGTTGTCCTCGAAGATACAGGTAAAGTTTAGGATTACTCTCAGAAGAAAACACTATGTGGAGGTGTAAGAAGAGCTAGAGTTTAGACTTTTTGTTTTGTTCCAGGTGTTGTGCCGTGCGTTCTTAGCACTCTGATGATGGTCCAGAGATGCCTGCATAGTAGGAGACAACCTGGAATATTCTGCAGAGATGGTTGACTTTCTGCTTCACCACCTCAGCCCACTTTGGTATCTAATGAAGTTGGATCCAACATAGTTTCTGTAGTGGGTAGAATAATAGGTACACCACGCTTTTACGCTGCCGACTGGAATTGTCTAGGTTATTTGCTTTGCTGCCAATAAATGCATTAAAAATAAACATACTGATGTTTTTGTTTACCATCATTGTCTGAATTGTACCCCACTTTGGTGGGCTTTTTTGAAAAAAAAAAAAAACATAGTGGGAAGCAGTCTCAGCTGGATCTGGCATGCTTTCACTGGTTGCCGTGCTGACAGGAGACAATGACGGTCAAGTGACTGACCCAAATAGCTGGGATGGAGCTCATCTTTTGTGAATGAAGTGTTATGTCTCTCATCTGTGTTTATGTTGTTTCACCGTTGGGGCTGTCTGTCTGGACAATGCTGCTGGGAAAGAGACAGACAGGACTCCAACACGCCAGTCAGGATTGCGATGCAGATTCATTGTCGCTTTGTCTGCGCTGTGTTGAATTGGAAGGTCAAATGTCTCTGAGGATGGTTTTTGTATTTTCACAATTATTCTCTTTTTAATATACATATACATTAACTCATACTCAGGTGATACCAGATGCCCTAACTGGTTTGTTTGAGAATAAGTTGACTGTACTGATGGTGTAACACATACATTGAAAATATGACCAAGTTACTTCTATTTAAAACAGAAAAGCAACTCCTACTTTTTCCAATGCAACATGTTCACTGCTACAGATATTTACATAATTATTTAGAGATTTATACCTGAACTCATATTTGAAGTGAATAGCATCTCACCAAATCTTCAACCAATTTTAATTAAATTTTAGACACTTTCAGAATAAAAAAAACAAGGTTCAATAACAGCTGCAGGTAAGTTATATATTTCAACCTAAAATCATAAGGTGTCACTTAAACCTACACACCAATTTATTTTGGTCGCTATTTAAAAAAAAAAACATTTTATTTTCCCATAATATATTTTAATAGCACTTTTAGTTTATTTATATAATTGAATGCAAATGAGAAACACTACTGTAACAGAAATTGGTTTGGCAGCTATTTTGTTCCACTAGAAGAAATAATCCTGACCGTGTGGGATATAGAGGAAATTCAAATTAAAACTTTGGCTTTTAGTAAGTCATTAAAAACCAAGAATTAATGACATTTATTCTGATGAGGTCGAGATTTGTAGAAGAGCAAATAAGACACAACAGAAATATTGAAAGAAAATAAGAGTGCACTCATGCCGTTGCTCCTTTCAAACATTTTATCAAAAACAAACAAATCAAAAAAGACATTAAGAAAACAAAAAGAAGCACTAAACTGAACAATACACGTGCCCTGCCGGGCAGAACAAAGTAAAACAATTGTAAGAATATCCAGATTAATTTGTACATACATTGCTGGATCATCAACTCTTTAAGGACAAAAAGACCTGCAGCTCCACACATGAATTGGCAGCAAACATCTGAAAACAGGAAAATCCGAAAACTTAAAACGCAGTATTTGGGAACTAAATATTAACAGGAGACAAAATATGGGGACTTATTTACAGTGATCTTTTACTGAATTAGAAACATTTCATCCATCCCAGTCATTCACTGGCTAACATATTCCAAAAGAGATCAACAAGCAGCTGCTGAAAAACTGAAGGTTTTCGGTCCTGGATGCACAAACCAGTGGTGCTCAGTGAACAATTACAACAACTCAATAGACGTTTAGACTTTGTGTTGCTCATAGACCGAAACATTGTTGACATAATTTATGAATCTATCAGACATTGTTTTGGCAGCACATCAAATCAAACATCATATTCAAAACTGGATTTAAAAAATAAATCAATGGGATCTTTCCTGCGAAAAAAGGTTTTATGTTCAACAAATGAAAATAGTTGTTCTGTCTCATAGAGCAAGAAAATGTTGGATGGATATTACAGGAGAGTGATGATGGTTAAAGATGATCAATAAAGCTGCAAATGAAAACAGAGGTCAATGCTTCATAATCACTCAGCTGATTTCTTTACCCAGTACATTAGCGCCGAGGTAAAACTTGGACTGTGCTTTTTAGGTCCATTTGTGTGAGTTTAAAACCTTCTCCAGCTCTCTTTAAATGGCAGAATATTACGATTATTGATTGTAAATTACTGAGATGCACCGAGAAAAAGGCACATTTTTCACAAGAAAATTTGATCTTTTGCCTCTTAGAAACATAGCCTACCTTATGCTAACAGCTAAAGTTGGTAACACTCTTCAGTATATAATTTGTTTCTGTGTATAACAGAGATAGCTAAAATGAAATGTCTTACTTTGACATGTTGAGAATTATTTGCAGCCCATTCAGGTTGCGATAGAAGGGGAGATGGTAAGACATTTAGCGGATAACAGGAAGGCTGAATGCATTACAGCAAAGTTGCCATTTCATCCTTTTGAGCTTACAACAATTCCTTGGAAGCATTGAATTTGAGGTAATGTTGTACGTTCTTCAGATTGTACATATGGAAACCGAGGGTAAGTAAAGCTATCTGTGCTAATTGCTGACAAAAGACGGTGAAGGGTTAAAGATGTGAACTCTGATCATTTTGTCAAACGACTGCTAGCAGTAGAACGATTTTCAAAGCTGTTCTTATATCTACTGGGTTCTTGAGAGAAATCAAACTAGACTAAAACTTGCGCAGATTAAACCTGCATAAAAGTTGAAAATTGGAATTTTGGCCAGAAAATTCAGGTCAGTGCATCTCTATGAGTCCTATTCACCCATGAAAGAACAATGTGGTAAAATCAACTGAGTCTGTTAAGGATGTGCATCCCTACTCTTCCTGAATTAGCCTCTATTGGAGCAGAAATTTAGAAATTAAAGAAAACAAATTTACTTTCTCGATTGTCATATTTGATCTACACAGGACTTTTAAGTTTGCCACATTCTCCAAAAAAAAAAAAAAAAATCAAAGACAACTTATGTGTGGCAAAAGAAAAAATAGATGAGCTTTAACTGTTTGAAAACAGCAACACATGTGCATATATTTGTTTTTTGGGGGTAAAAACATGACCGGTAGGTTGTTGTTTCAACGCCATCTCTTTCAAAACTAACATAAAAAGTCCCTGCATTTCAACAGGCTTCTTCTGAGCATGAAGTCCATTCAGTATTCCCATGTTTTTGTGGTACACCTCAGTTCTGCAGACACAACCCACATCTGAGGACTAAAACATCTAAAGCTTGTTAAAACAGTGATAATAACTAGTTGAGAAACCCTCTGTCTATTTAAGTCTAGTTGATGTGGCAAGAGAGAACATTATGAACGTGATGACATCTGAGCAAACACAGTTTATGGCCACGCATCAGTCTGGGGGATCATTACCGCTCGGACAGTTCAAAGGGAGTGATCGGTTCAGCGGTTCTTTTGCGGTCTCCAAACTGACAGCTACTCGTCGTTTTGATAAGAGGCGTCCCGTTGACAGAGCAATCAATTCCACTTTTTGGTCCCTGTTTGTTGTTCGTTTGCTTCAGACTTTGATCTTCAGCACCAAGCATAAACCCGATCTGCTAAGGATGATGCGTCACAGTCCAGTGAAGCTGGTTGGCCTGAATGAAAGGTGGTGGCTTTCGGCTACTCACATTCGCTGTTGTTCAAGGCAGAGGTGGTCATTTGTGAAAAACATAGACTGGTCTCTGAAAACCTGCATCATGACAAAAAAAGATGTTAATAAATCTTAAAACAGCAATGTGTCATGCAAGAAGGAAACTCAGCATACCATTACCTCTTACTGAACACTTTGGAGACCCCAGGTGCTCAAAACTTGTGAAGCCCACTTCATTCGTGAGGTAAGATGAAAACTGATCAGGTTTGAGTCTGATGCTGCGATAATTCCTGTTAATGTTTTCCTTAAGGGGGAAGGAAGAAGGAAATAATGGTTACACATAAACTAAAATAAGAATAAAGAAAACATTTCATTACTCATTTCAGACCAGACTAAGGCCATTTTAGCAGCCCTTTTTACAGCCTGGCAGACTTGTCATGGTGTGTTCACTCCAAACAAGTTTCACGCGTCTGGTTTACATTCAAAGTCTATGTGGAGGCGCATTGAGGACCCATTGCGGCGCATTTGAAGCGTTTGACGCGTCCGCCATGTCTGACAAATAGGCCGACAATGGAAAACTACGACTGGAGCGATTTTGAGACGTCTGATGCCGCGACTCCACATAAACTATGAATATAAACCAGACACGCGAAACTTGCTTGGTGTGAACGCACCATCATAGATGGCCTGTTAAATTATTTTCAAATCCTGGAGGAAAAAACTGAATCCTGCTCTATCAACAAAATGGCCTTAAATGATGCAATGCTAACAATTGTGCCACTGGTGGTTTTGTAGAAAAAATGGGATTTGATCAAGTTGAATAAATGTACTCAAATTTTTTTTTTTTGCTACTACAATAAAGGAACAACTGTTTATTCACAGGATTCCAATGACTGTGGATGGAACTGAATACTTGTTAAAACAACAACAACAAAAATAATTAAGAAAAGTGAAAATCCTCTTACTGTCAGCTTCTTCCTCCTGACGTAGGACTCCCAGGGCTGCGGCTCCAGAATGAACAAGCCTCCAGGGCGGAGGTGTCTGTAGGCTCTCTTGAAGAGCCGCTTCAGGCCGCTGTCGCCCCAGTTTAGGTGAACCCATTTGGTAACGCTGAGGCACAAGATCACGTCATACTCTGCCCTCTGAGTCACGAGGAGATTATCGTTCTCCAGAACATAGTTAGCCTGAAGGAAAGCAGAGGCGGGAGAAGAAAAAACACCGTTTTGGTAAATGGATAAAACATTTTTGTGAAGCTGTGTTCCATAAAAAGATTACAGCTTGTAAAAAGATGCTGACAGTGGGGAGGCTGGAGGCAAGAAAGCTGACATGTAAATTAAACAAAATGCAGAAATAACAATGCATTATTTTTTAGTTTGGTGTTTACTGCAAAGCAGACAACAGCAACACCGATTTTCCATACAAAGCTTTTCATTTCTTTCTAAAAAATCTAACTGAATGCATCAGTGACGCCGGATGATTTTTTTTGGGGGGAAGGAAATGTGACTCGCAAGATTATGCAAATATGAAGTCAATCTTGTTTTTTGTCATTCACAACACAAATTTGTCTTAC